ACATCTCCAGTGGTGAATGACCATATCTCTCAAGTGTGGGTGTCGCGTCTCCCGCTGGAGACGCGGCATCTCCCACGGGAGATGTGGTGGCATCTCCAAAATCTTGGATATGTGACACTACTCCAAAATTTATAAGCATTACAAAAACTGGAAAAACAAAGTGAAATTTATCAAGAAACCGCTAAAAATCGTATTTTTGTAATGCTTATAAATTTTGAAAGGAAAGGCGGCGATCTTTCATTTTCTTCAGAATTTTTGTGTTCTTTAAGTTGATACTGTTAGAAACAAATTATTGCAAAGTCTTTTGAAACCTGAAAAATACAGTTTTGGGTTTTACCTTAAATCATCTATGAAATTTTGGTATAGAATGCGTCTTCATTGGCTATCCGAATCACTATTTAGATTTCAGTTAAATGCTTGTTATTATAGAACAAAATCAAAAATACATTTTCATTTAAACTTTTCTCTTTGACTGTATATTTCGTTCTTTAGTCAAACCTTTATAGTCTTCTTTCAATTTCTCGTGAATCAATCCTTTGATCGAATGATTATGACAATAAGAATCAGAGATGTCCATCGCCGCTGCCGCGATACGCTATTCAAAAGAATGCTTTGATGATTTAAGACTATGACTGGTCTAAACTAGAACTACTAATCGATCAGATTCGTAAAGTCTTATGCGGTATAGTGTACATGAAAGTCAAGATTTTGTGTAAATCCATGAATTTCTTTTTCTAAAAAAACTAATGAAATATGATTTTTTTTTTTTGTTACATTAGTTCAGTGTTTTATCCAGAGGGGCGCCCCTCCGAAAATCGAGTTCGCCCTCCCGAGACTTGTGATAATCGTGCTACGAATACATGACTTGCCCCCTCGGAAATTCAAATCGCCCATCCAGAGAAAAAAATCCTAGATAAAATACTGCGTTAGTTTCATTAGTCTCTTTGCGAATTTAATAATCCAAAAAAAAAAGCTTACGAGTAGATTCATCAATCTTTTTTTCAGGTTCCATAGGTGATGCTTCTGAAGATTTTTTTATATCTACAACTGGTTCTTCTTCTGCTTCCTAATATAATATAAAAATAAAAGTAAAAAAAATAAATTTATATTTAATGAAAAAATATTTAACCATAATAGTTGTTGGAATTTCTGTATTTATTTTTTCTGTTTCATCAATATTCATAACATCAGTATTTGTTGTTGATGCAATTTCATCTTCCATTTCATTATTATTATCTTGTTGTTTATCATCAATAACCATTGATGGAGATTCTAAAAAAACAAACAAAAAATTATTTTTTTTTTTGTATAAAAAGATTTGTTGTTTTTTTGTACCTATTGTTTGATCTGTCTCCATTTGTTCATCAGATGGATTATCTTTAACAAATTCTTGTTTATTTATATCTTTAGATGATAAATCATCTGTTATATTATCAACATCATCAAGTTGTTCATTAGAATTTTCAATTTGTTTTAATGATTCAGATCCTTCCATATCTGTTTGTTGAATATTTTCACTAGTTAATATATCAATTGGTGAAGTATCAATTATTGTTGATTGATTAGTTGGTGAAGATGTTTCATCCATTTCTGTCAGTTTTATTTGTTCATTTAAAAGATTTTTTTGTATTTGTGGTGATGATATCATTTCAGGTTGTTCATCATTATTTAAATTTTTTGTTTCAATTATTATTGAATTTGTTGTTGAACCAATTATAAGATTATTATCATCATTTGATATTATTGATGATGATTCATTTATACCATTTTGTTTTGGTATTATATCAACTGAATATAATTAAATAAATTTGGTTTTTTTTAATATTTTTACTCAAAAGTTTTGTCTAACGAATTGAAAGACTTCAAGTGATATGATGAAAAGTCAAAAATATCTCGGAGAGGAATGTTTTCTTTTTGAATACTTCTAATATTTTGACTTTTTTTAGTCGAACGACACAAAAAAATTTCATCTCGATCGAACATAGAATTCTAATCTCTTACGAAGAAATCTCACCAAATGTATTAAGAGCTTTTGAAATGAGATACGACCTGGTAAGACTAAAAGGATAGGCCCAGTGTTTTATTCAGGATTTTTCTCCGGAGGGGCGATTTGAATTTCCGAGGAGGTGAAAAATTATTTTCGGAAGGGCAAACCATGTATTCGTAGCACGATTATCACAAGTCTCGGGAGGACGAACTCGATTTTGGGGGGGGGGGAGGGGGGGGGCGCCGCCCCGCAGGCACCTCTCTGGATAGGCCTTTCTTCCGGAACTATGACCAATTTACTAAATTTTCAGCTCATGTCAAGATATTCAGAAAAAAAAATCAAATGACAAAATTTTGCCCATATATAGGTTTCATAGTCGTTAGTATGCGCTCCTTTTTAGTCTCACCAGTTCATATCTATGATCAAAATATCACTTGATGAAGTTCCTTCGTTAGAGTAATGAATTCTCAGATGAATATTTCAAAGTGTATTTAATAAATCATGTTTAATTTTGATCTGAATTCTATAGAAGTTTAGCTCGTAAGAGCATGTCAAGACGTAGCGCCTCGTTTTCTTTTTTCTTATCAAAAAAGAGCACTTCGCAAAATGATTATTTGAGAATTTTTCGAAGTATCCTATCTGTCATTCTTTTTTTCACCTAAGTAAAAAAAACAAAAACAAACGAACTGTGTCAGATTGACATATACTCTTGCAAATAAAAAAAATGTCTTATCATCAAAGATCGAAGATTTCGATTCAAAATGAACCAGTTAATAAATTTGAATTTCAAATTTTCGATTTCTTTATGTCTAGTACTGAAAAATTTTATGTGATTTGAATATATTTATTTTGTATTAAAAAAAAAAAAACAGCAGACAAACATACCGTTATCATCATTATTCCAAACTTTAATTGATTCTTTAGTAATTGTTTGTGTTGATACTAAAAATTATTTTCAATTAATAAATAATATAAAAAGATTTATTCTTACAATTTAAATTAATTTTTATTTCATTTGAAATCTAAAATAAAACAAAAAAATAAATAAATATTTTAAATAAATAAAATTCATTACATTAGTTTGTTTCTGTTCTTGAAATAAACAAATAATATCACCAAATTTAATTTCATCATTATTATGTAATGCATAACAAACATTTGGTTGAAGTTGAATCTTTATTTTTGAAATGCAAAATTTTTTTTAATATAAAATCAATAATTATTTTACTTTATTATGAAATGTTTTATTACTACTATCGAGATCAGTTATAAAATATTGTCCATTATTTATTGTTATTTTTGCATGTTGTTTTGAAAGTGACTAAAAAAAAAAAGAAAATTTTTTTAAAATTTTATTCTATAGAATTTCTTATACCGGAGCAGTAATAATTATATCTGATGGATTTGAACGACCAATAATTGTTTCCTCTAGAAACAAAAAATCTTAAAGAAATTTAAGAATTAGATAAATATTTACACATACTATTTATTTCATATGTATTTGAATCAGTACCATTAAGAATTTTTAAATAAGCTTTCTATAAATAATAGAAAATAAGTTTGAGAGTTTCAATAAAAATGAACATACAGTATCATTTGTTGATGAATTTTCATTAAGACTTTCATCAGCTGTTAAGATTTGTGTACTATCAAGATCTGTCATTATTAAATATTTTAATCTAAAAAAAATTTAATAGGCATTTATTAAAAGAAAAAGAACGAAGACATTGTATCAAGAGAAAGCAATAGAACGAACGAGAGAAAAAAAAACACGACACTCTCCATATGTCTTTATTAACATTAAGAAAAAAAAAAAAAAATTTGGAAAATTATTAATTAAAATTTTTTTTTTAGAAAAAAATTTTTTTAAGAAATTTCTTAATTTCTAATTAGTCAATTAAAGAATAAATGTACTTAAAGGTCACCTCTTTGTCTTCAATGATTATAGCGACATCTTTCATTTATCTATTTGAAAAATAAATAGATTTATTTCTTTTCTAAATTAATATAATTCAAGTCAATATCAAGTTTGAAATAAATAATATTTTGTTAATATAATAATTCAAATACACTAACATTGATAATTAGCACCATCTATCGATATGTCAAAAGTCATCCAGTCTCTTATACTTATAAGAATTCCTTAATACGTTAAATCGCTGGTCCATAGAGCTGGAACTTCTTTTTTTTTTATACATATTGGATACTGCTTGTTAAGGGGGTGGCCAGGTGGGTAGTGGCGTAACCAAGGTAGGGCCAGGGGGGCTCAGCCCTACCACCGGTGTTAGCATGGTCAGCTGAATCCTTTCAAAAGCCCTACCATCCCACAGACCTCAGTAACCTGAGCCCTACCACCAGATATTTAAGCGTTGCTGAGTCCTACCATCGCCAAAACTCTGGTTACGCCGCTACAGGTGGGGCTAAGCCCCACCGCCAAAGCTTTGAGTCCCACCACCGACTTAGAGCTCGACCAGCTGAGCTCCTCCACCGTTAAAATCCTTGTTTCGCTATTACTTATTATTTTTTATTCGAACAGAAGAGAATCAAGCGAAAAAACACCAAATAATGTGCTCAGGTTACGAATAAAAATATCTAGACTTTCAAGCGAATCCGCAATCTGAACACTTTTGCATATATCAAAGACATTTTTTATTCAATATTTCTGTAAGATGAAGTGCATAGTGTTAGTAGAACAATGAGTTATGTATCACATCATCTTATCTTTTATTTCATTTACTTTTCATTAACATCGTACAACAATTCATAGCGGGTGCACTGTCTCGAGTTGTATACATAAGATAAGACCGGTAGACAACGAAAAAAATTCTATGACATAACATTTAGGTTTTCGTACTATGAAATGAAAAGAAGAAAAACTAATTGAGAAATTGATTTCATCGTTGGCTTAGATCGAATTGATAATGAAATACTTTTCCTCTAGATTCCCAATTTCAATTCAATTGAATTTATATACAAATAATAATTTATTAAATAAATTAAAAATAAAAAAAAGTTAAACAAAATTTGGTGGAAGTGTTTCATATGTATAACCAAAAGGAAGTTCTGTATTCCATAATTCAATTGAATTAATTATTTCATGTGCAAAATCAAGATGAATTGAACCAAATATATCTTCAGGATTTTTATCATTATAATAGATTTGATTAATAATAGCTAATTGAAGTTGACTTTCTAAAATATATTTCATCAATAAGATTCGATTAAAAAACAAAACAAAAAACTTACTTCTAGCCCAACGTGGAATTTTTTTTGATTGTCTATGTGATAAAGCAATTTGTGTATCATCAAGTTCATCATCATGATTTACAGTCATATCATAATTACTTATTAAATCTAATGTTTGATTATTTTTAGAATTTATTTTAATTTCACGAATAATATTTGATCTAGAAAAAAAAATAAAAAAAAGAAGTTTTCAAAACGAACAACTAAAATTATTTTACCCTTTAATTCGTTTAAATTTATGATTTATTTCTTGTTTATTAATTGTAGAATGAAATGATGATTGACATTTTGTTATTGTAGAAAATTTCTTAAATAATTGACGACGTAGAAGATTTTTTATTGAAATAGATGATGAATGTTTAGTATATGTTAATATTGATGAATCAGCAGGACGAAGACACTAATATCAATATTTAATTATACAAATTTGTAAGACTAAATTAAACAATGTTTACTTACTGGATTACAAAAAGGCATTATCAATATGATAAATAGTAAAATGTTGAGCAAGAATATGTTATTAACATATTGAAATAAATTTCTTTATATAAAAAACTAAATCTCATTTAGTTAAAATAGATTAAATTGTTTCAATTTTATATTTGTTCTGAAAAATAGGATTGATCAATTAGTTGAGAAAAAAAGCCAATTAAACAATTATTTTTGTATAGATTTTTTTTTTGTTCATTCTGATCAGAAGAGACAAAAAACGAATATAAGTTCGAGTTGTTTGTGTCAAAAGAATTAAGTTGGGAAGCTTACGGTTGTTCGAATTACTTTAATTCAACGAAAGACGACTATGTCTACTTGAAAATTTAATCAAAAAAGTATAAGATTTTTCGATATCTGTGGATGAAGTATATAAATAGTTCTTAGAATTTATGCTCTTTTCTTTTTTTTTATAAATCAAAAGATTCAATTATGAGTTTTGTCTCCCAGTCGTTTGTATCAAGACAAGAATTATTTCAATGAACTTTTCATTTCATTGAAAGTTCTCTTATGAACTTGATTTAAAGGTCAACAAATAGTTTTTCTGCACTTAAATGTTCCTTGAAAAATGGTTGAGAATTGATTGACATATAATTTTCTCATTTTTTTAAGTGTTATTTTAATTAAAATGTTAAATAAACAATTGTGATAATTGAAAAAAAAAAAAATAAAAACGAAAATAATCAGAATGATTTCAAAATTTATTTAAAACATAAAAGTACAACATATACTCAGAAGAAAGTCCTCAGTTTTGATATTAAGACATTCATTAATTAATTATTCAACAAAAAATTTAATCGAAAATGTTACGAAAAAAAAAATATAACTTGGCTATATGATGAATAAGCTAAAATCATATTGAATGATCCTGTTTGACATATCTTTTACAATATTCCATTCAATGGTATATATTTGAACATATCGAATAGTATACATACAAATCAGTCATCGAATATATCTTCGTTTTTATTTCCACAATTTATTTAATTCAAACTTGTATGAATGTCTAACAGTATACGTCGTTAATAATAAAAATTAAAAAAAAAAAAAGAAGAGTTTTGATAAATGCTAAGAATTGACCTGTTTAGTCCGTCGATAGAAATTAAAGACGAAAGAGTTCATGCTGATGATAATTATATTTACATTTATATAACATTAGTTTTGGTTCATTATTGAGTACAATGAATATTCATGAGTGTACCACCAGATTGCTAAAATGACTACGAAATTTTCGTAGGAGGTTGTTTTCTTGTGTGATAATTCTATTTAATTGCACACCAAATCCTAATGTTTTATAATGCAGATTACTTAAAATGTTCATAACTTTGATTAATAATAAAATTTTGTTCATGATTTGAGAGTACGTAATGGATTGATTCACAACTATGTAGAAAGTATGGGCTGCCTCACTTTCCACTAAGCAGGTTGATATCATATATTTGAAGACATCTTTGATTTTAGGCCACTATTCATCTTTGAACAAAAAAAAAAACGAAAAAAATTCAAATTAAGAATTGAATATATACTACGAATAGTATGTCAAATACTTTAATTTAATAAAAATCAAATTTATATTAAAGTTTGTTTTGACAATCTTGATATCGGTAATATAATCAATACAATAAATTGATATATGTATCAGTATACAAAAATTATTTTATACATTCGATGCAGTTTTCTAATTGTGTAGTGAGAAACAAAGATGTTGGCCATATTAATATTGCTATCGAACCAAATTAAAAGTTTATTTTGAATAATGTAAGTATAAGCAAATATTCAATATGGCCTTTTTTTGCCTATGTGTCAAGTTGTGCTTGATTTCTTCAGAAGAAAAAAAAAACCGAATATTTTTTTTTTGTAGATTTTTAAACAAACACATAAGATTGGAAGCTGTTACCAATAAATATTGCATTCGTTATATAATGAATTTTAACGAATGCATCTGAAAGAAAGAGAGTAAGATGAATATCTCATATTTTATATATATATATATAATTTTTGTTTTTTTTTTTTTTGTTTCGTTCTGTAAGTTCGTATTTATATAATGATTTGCTCACATCGTTTTCATTTGATTGCATAAGGTTGTTGTAAAGGAATCAGAGTAAATGTTGATATCTACGAACGAGAAAAAAAGAAACTTATATTTACCTTATGTGTGTCGGCATGTTTTAATGTAAGAAGAGAACGAGGTCTCGAGAGAAATTTCATTGCATTTTTCTTTTTACCATTTTGCATCAAACAGTTATTTGAATAAGGAACAAAAAAAACAAAAGAACTTGCTCGAATAAAACTTATAAATGGAAGTTTTCGGATTGATAATCTTTGTTCGAATTCATATTTTACTGATTGTTATAATTAAATTGTTTAGATAAAAGTTCTAAAAGAATTTTATGTCATGAATATTTTGTTTTTGAGTTATATTTAATATACCGAATTGTGATATATTAAAAGTTTTAGTAAAAATTATTCGAATCGTTTGCAAAAAAAACTAAAGATTTTGTAATTTAAAGAAACAACAATCGTTTTTGTAGAAAATTTCAAAATTGAAAAAAAAATTTTTTTCGTGGATTAAATACTGTCAAGAGATCGATCATGTTCGTGGACTATTGTCGGATATTTTTTTAAAATAGTCTTCACCATTTTTTGAATAATTTTCGATCGCTTATAGATATTGAGCTCGAGTTTTTACCATTAGAAAGAGTAAGTGAGAAAACGTCTATCTATATAAAATTTATAAGGTTCGAATAATTTTTTCATGAGTTTTCACAGTAATCTACGCTTAAATTATATCAAATTCTAGTACAAAAAAAAAGATGAAAATTTTACTAGGAATAAAGGTCGTTTTGGACTAGAATTTGGTATAATTTAAGCGTAGATTGCTGTGAAAACTCATGAAAAACTTATTAATTTTATATAAATAGATATTCCATCACTTGCTCTTTCTAATAGTGAAAATCCGAGCTCGATAGCTATAAGCGTTCGAAAGTTATTCAAAAAATGGTAGAAGCTATTTAAAAAAAAAATCTGACAGTAATTTATACAGAATCAGGCAGGTGTGATATTGCACTTGTTTGACCTTGTATACATTAATCGATAAATTTAATCATTGTGTTATTTTGTAGAGTATAAAAATTCCATAAGATTAATTAGTAGTTAAAAATTCTTTTGTTTTACATTTGACAAAAATATTGAGATGTTCATATTCTAATCTATTCAAAATAAAACTTAAGATAATGGCAGATTTTCTATCTTGTTCAACAATATTTTTTTATACTTAGATATAAAAATTTATTAACCTTGAATGAAAACTATCAAATGTAGTTGTCTTGTAAGTTTTGATTAAAAAAAAACAACAAAAATAGTTAATTATATTTTATTGTATGTATTCAATTGATTGATGACGAAATGTTTTTTAGTATGTACGATTAACTATGCAAATAAAATACTTTCATATAAATGATCTATTATCATGAACAAGAATTTTAATCATTTACTAAGTTAAGATAAAATATTATCACTGATAAGTTATGTAAGTAATCAATTACATTTATTTAAAAAATCTTCTAGTTTTCACAGTCAAAAAAAAAAAGATAATTCACATACGAGTTTTAAAAAACAAATACTATAGAAAATCTAACATATAACGAAATTTTTTGACGTCAATTAATATATCAAATTTGATTAAAATGAAAAAAAAACTATACAATGAACAATTCATCAATTAAAATAAGATTTAATTTATCATAGATAATAACAATTATTTTTCATTAATAAGAAAAAGAAAAAGGCATATTTCGATTTATAAATGTGTTTCAATAACATTATGAAAATCAATTCTCAATGACGCATTTAATCAATTGGCAACGATGCATATATATTACGCTTAGGGTCAAAGTCGATGATTCATGTTTATTTTAATATTAACCAATAGATAAGAAGCAGCACTATATTGTTAATATAAATTTCTTTAAAAAAAACTAAAATCATTTTATAGTAAAATATGTAAAAAAATTTTATTTTTAAATAAATTTCTTTAATATATATTCTCTTATGATTGGTTGTAGAATGAGTAAAATGTTTTAACATATCGTCAACAACAAAGTTTTTTTCTTATAATATATATTTGTTGTTGTTGTTTTTTTTTTCTTTTTCTTTTTCTTTTCATAAAGAAATCAAATAGTGATCGCATGATGTATAGAGTAAATGGATACGTGTCAAAATTATTCGTTTAGATATATAAAAAAAAGAAAAAAATATATATATTCTTTAGAAATTAATCGAATAGTAAAAAATATTTTTATTGTTGTTTGTTGTTGTCTAGATTTTATTTATCTAATGTTATTTTGTTTGGGCTATGTTGAAAAATAATTTATTTATTTCGATTAAATATGAAACGCAAACGATACGAATCAACAACAATATCAAACAAAATTTTATGTTTACAAAATGGTTCTAATGTTGAAGTACAACTTGAAGATGGAAAATGGTTTTTATTTTATTTTGATAAAGGAAAAAAAGAATTTTGTATTTTTTTGAAAAATTTTAGGCATACAGGAATAATAATTCAATGTCAATTAAAAAAATATCTTGTTCAAGTTGAACAACAACAATATTGGATTGATTTAGATCTTATTAGACCAAATACAATTATTGATCATGTAAAATATTTTTTTTTTAAATAAGATATAAAGACGAATCGTTTTTTTTTTTTTATTTAGAAACGTAATGTACCATTTGAATATCGTCCCGGTCAATTTCTTCGTAATGAAACAAAGTCCACAAATAAAATAGTACCTGGTATATATATTATTAAAGAAAAAATTTCAAATATTTATTTATTTTTTAAGATGAAAAAGTTTTATCATCTCCTCCTGATTCATCATTAATATCTGAATCTTCTAATGGTTTGTTTGATTTTTTTTTGGAAATATAATCTTAATTATTTTTATTATTATAAATATAGAATTGAAAAAAAAACGTTTACCAAA